CAATTCCGCGTATTGGTAAAGTCCGAGCCTGGCCCGTTACTTTGTCGTAATGGTTCATGAATAAGTCGAGTTGTTTGGTAGAGGGGCGCTCACTGATCGTTCTTACGGAACTCACTCGTTCCGTTGTGCCTACCAGACTCTCGCTGGAGCCCAACCACCAGCAGCACAGCGGCGCATGATAAAGGCTGAATGATATTACCGAAAAATACAAGGGAGACTGGAATGACCATTTCTAGCTTACTAGTCGTCGTCAGCCAGTCATACCTAACTCCGAAGTGTGGAAGACCTGATGCTCGAACGCGTGACCTGTCAGTTATAAGTCCAACGCCTCTAACCACTGAGCCGTGGGTCCGTTGTCCTGTTGGTTACGATCAGGAATATACAATGGTAGAAGGGCACTCACAGATCGTTCATACGGAAGTCACTCGTTCCGTAGTGCCTTATGGGCTCTCTCTCTCGAGCCCAACCAACAGCCGCGCAGCGGTACATGATACAGGCAGAGTGTTACTACAAACAAAGACAAGGTAGACTGGAATGGCCATTTCGGGGTTGGTTACGACTGGCTGACGACGGCTAATAAGCCAGAATTCGCCATTCCAGTCTCCCATGTCTTTGTCGTTACTAGCATGCTGTTGTATTGTTTATTGTGAGCAAGGCGTTGAGAAAGGTTGACTCAATAAACACGTCACCTTTTTCCCTATTCCATGAACAAGTTGCCTCTCCCAGCCAGTAGGCAGAGTGGTTATTTGGAACTGAGTGCGGTGGCTAATGTAGCATCAGACTTTGTCAAGCACGTCCCCATGCAAAACAGTTATTGAGAGCCTACCTAAAGCCACTTAATTTCGACTGCCAAATGTTACGAGTAAATTTGACATCCGTTGTAGTCCACAAAACACATCGGCGTAGTCCGTCTACACGAAAAGACGTATGTAGGCCTCCCAGGGTGAATTGTGGTTCATGTTGGTACCGCTATCAAGTAGAACGTAGAATTGGGCTCATATTCTGCCTTGAAGGATCTCTAGCGCACACCGACCATGCGCAAAAGTGGGTGACAAACGCCTGATATCTCGCTGTTCTCTCGATCAGACGAACTGACTCAGTTATACCTCTACCAGCATAAATGCACAACCGACTGCAGAGACCCTCCTTACTTTAATGACAGATTAGAAGGCCGGAGTTTGTTGTTAATTCCCCTAACGTGAACGTGTTCAAGAGACAACTGGATACTCACCTGCTGAAAGGCAACCCAAACTGCCGAAGCCTGATCTAACGGATTATTGAAATGACTATAAATATACTACTCACAGGATTTCAACAGCTCCTATTTTTGCGTCAAACTTAGCCCATATTGAAATTTTCACAGTCCGAATGTGGTGAACAAAGTCTTTCGCAATTATTTTGCGAATATAATACCCCTTTCACCTTCATGTTACATTATTAGATTTATGAATTCTCCTACTAAAACTGCAAGCAAAAGTTTTGCAATTTAACTATTTTACTTTATACCTGTACCCTCTAAATGGAGTTTTCATGGCTTCTGTTGTTTACTCCAAATATACTGACTGATACTGACTGACTGAAAAGGTTGCCGACTGGTATCAGAGACCAACAGCCAAGTCTCGCTGAGGACTGCTGGATGATAGTTTTGACAGTCGCATCCGACGGTTTCCCCCCGTCTACTCCACAAGGTGGGGGAGGCACGGTGACAGGTGCGTGGGTTATAGTAAGAGTAAACTTGCGCAGAATCTACCGCAATCTCTCCTCCCTACACCTGGGCCCTGTGTCAAGACTAGAGGCGGGATAGAGCGCAGGTGGATGGCGCCGCTGGAGCTCCAAGCAGGCGTGCTCCTCCACGCTCCCTAGTCCACAAAGAACACTTGACCAGGATTTTAACCAACAACAACAACAGCAAGATGAGGATGACTGGGCAACCGTGCATACGACCTACGTGCCCAACGGAAGCGCGAGCGCAGCTACCGGAAGGGAACACGGCGTCAAAGAATTGCCGGCGCACACCAGGCTGCAATGGCCATGGTTTGCTAATCATGGCATAGCAGACGCTCACAATCCTTGAGGCCCATGATAATTCCAGTCATACGACTGAGAGAGAATGGGCTCACAAGTTGAGTCTCATTCGACGAGATCCGGCCACGCATTCAAATTCGACGAGGCAGAAATTCTCGCAAGAGGTGACAGCCACGTGAGCCGGGAGCTGCTTGAGTCATGGTTTACTGGCCCCCAGTCCATCAACAAGTGCAACGATCTTCCCCTTCCATACTCGGTGCTGAGACTTTGCCTAGGTGGAGTAATTAGCCACGCGGGAAGCGCACAGGTGAATACTATTCCCAACTCCAGGATCGGTGAGTCAGATTGTAGAGCAATTATCACACCAAAATCCAACGCACCTAATGAAATTGTAGCATTTAACGACGCGAATGTCGGCCATCAAACAGTCAGCACACCAAGTGCGACGATCCCGGATGAAGGGGGGAGCCGTGAATATTCATAGGTATACCGTAGCATGGCGGCTGCATCCTATAAATACTGCAGCCCCTTGTGCACGAACCACCAGTTTCTGCTTGTCTCTGATGGCGGGGTTCGAGCAGAATCCGAAACGTCAGGCTAGTAAAGCTCTTGTCCCAGCGATCGTGTCTCCTTCTTCAAGAATGGGCTCTGTAATAGCAAGTGGGTTGATGCTGCGCCAATCCCTATTATCATGCAATTTGCGCGCATGTCATCGCTTCCCCCTCCCTATAGAAAACATAATAAAAGTGCGCTGCCTTCTACCCATTTGGCCGTTACTCACGTCGTCTTCACATTTTATACTCAAAGTTTTGAAAAAGTCCCCTAATTGCCGATCCACCGTTTCACTAGCCCTTAGCGATTTAAGTCTGCAAGGTGTATACTTTCCGCGCAATAAGAATCATACATTCCTCTATGCCTTTGGAAAGATACTTTGAATAGTTCACAAAATTTTAAAATGGATGCGGACCATGTTGAAGGCTTTATGAGAAGCATCAACAAACGGACAGGTACGATTCTGTGTGAAAATTGAAGTCTTGAAAAACCGCACAATAGGGAAACTACTTGAAAACCCAAAGGCGGTAAGATGTGGTTATGTAGCCCCACCTGATGGACACAATGTTGTTGGTGTTGGGATAAGGGATTAGGGTT